GAAATCGCTTTTGGGTGATGAGTCTGTGTTCATGTGGTGTGATTGGTCAGCTCAGTCATGCTTAATGACTTAAGCCTTGTAAACTGCATTTCACTCAGACAAATATTGTTTGATTGCTGGAAGGAGAGGCTGCCACATTACTCAGGGAAATTTACTTCTAATCAAAAGGTTTTGACATGGTAGGAATCCACAAAACTCAAATGATTCTTCTGATATGACAGTCATAAACAAATTTTGGTCACATGCTATTCCCAAAAGTAACTAAAATTGGATGCAAAGAAAGTTCTATCTGATAATGATCTGACATATTCCCAATATTTTCTCACTATTTCTCTACCACTTTTGAGTTCTCCCTTCTTTTCTTTTATTCCCTTCTATTTTTTCTTAGGTTTGTTTTTGATGATGCCTGGTTTGATTCCAGTATTCATCTTTGAATTTATAGTAGTTGTTTTTGAACATTGATGAATCTGCATATACAAATGTAGATATATAAAGGGGTTTCTTTTTTATGGAGGTTGTCTTCTTCTACAAAGCAAGAGAACAGACCTGGTTAGAGATATTCCAGGCACAGGTGTGACCACTCAATTGGTGCAGTTGCATCAAGCAACCTGATCATATAACTCGTGCTGTGAAATATCACTTGAGGCCTGGCCCCAATTCTTACTGGGTAATAGTTTCCTATATCATAATGGGGAGAAATTTCCCTTTTGTTAAGAGAATTTAGAGTATATTCATTGGTTGGTTTTATTCTGGTTTTCCATAAGATCTTTATCACTGAGTAGGTTCATCTTCAATAACCTGGTCCCTTCTCCCACAGTGTTACCTCTGGAATATCTGGCAGCTGGATTGAAGGCAAGTCACAGTACAGTTTGTTCTGTATGAACACTGTAAATCACCTGTTGGGAAAAGTTCCCCTGAATACACAAAACCTGTGAGTTACAAGCTGTGTTTCATCAGGAGGTGTTTTTGTTAAAGAATAGCCGGAGACAATCCAAAAATTAATCTTGGTCATAATATAACCCTGGTACAAAATGCATCATTTCTTCTTGGCAGCTGAAGTGTTTGGCATCAGAAACTATTTACATTTGCATTGTTTTCAAACTTCTGTGTGTGCTGGAAGGTAGAGTGAAATATTTCCTAGATGGCCAGACTATTCCTAAGAAAAGATACACGAGGGAGTAGAAACTCAGAAACACTGTGTTTCAAACGTTGCTACAGGATCAGTACAAGTACATTGGAGTTTTACTGGATGTCCAGAGCACATCTTTCATTTGCTTTACATAAGCTACACCTCAATTTTATTTATTTTATTTCACAACATTCAAATTTTCTATTGTATCAGTAGCTGCATAAGCTACCTTTCCTCGTGTCCCTGCTTTGACACATTCCTGTCCATCCATGTCCTAAGAGATTTTTTTTTCCCTCTGTGCCCAAGAAGTGTCAGAAGCTCCTGTTGGTTAACTCATTACACTGTGATTGCATGTCTATCTCAGCACAAATCACTAAGTAAATATAAATGTGTTATACTTCTAAGTAATGGTATATGTCTCTTACTTCCACTTTTCCTGGTACTTGAGCAAGGAAAAATTGCAAAGCACTGAGAAAATATTACTGTATGTGAAATAAACTGCATGGACCTTGATTCCAGGAAGAACGTACACACATGCTGATAAACAGTTTCTTATCTAATACTGAAGAGAGTGTTTCTTAAATGGCAGTGCTTTTCTGAAATCATGCTTTTGGTTGCTGAGTTGTTGGTTTCTTGGGTTTTTTTGGTTTTTGGTTTTTTGTTTTTTTTTTTTTAGTATTTCAACACCCTGCTGATAGTGTTGTGAAATCTTTGCTGGGCCTTAGCCAATTAACTGAATAAGCTTTTATGTGCTTAATGGTTTTATAACACTTCAGTTTGAGATAAACTTGCCATTTGTTCATTTAACTTCTCTCGTGCATTTTGTGTGCAAATACTATCTAATCTCATGGAGATTCCAAGTCTCTGAGACTTAGGTTCTTGCAGAGTTGTCAAATACAGCAATCAGAACACATTTGGACACTTAGCAAAGGTCTCTCAATGTTTTTCATTGATATTTTTATTATTATTTAAGATAATTACTGTTATGATTAACTACATTGAGCTTTCATGTTCTGTGATGTAATTTTCCATTTTCATATTTACATTTATTAGTACATGTTCCATTTAAAGCCATCTTTCATTGCTCAGTGTGTGACATACTTGAGAGAAGAACTGAGATTTTCCAAATCTGCATCCCACAACCTGTCTGCAAAATACTCCTTCTTTCTAATGGCTAACCAGCTCCTAAAACTTAACTGGAAGGTTAAGATCAGAAGTATGATAATGTCACTGAAGATATCAAATGATTGAGTAGAATTTCTTTAATTACAAAAGCATTGAAAAGAAAGATAAATATTCCCTACACGCTGCAGATTTTCTTGCTCTCTGACTTATGGTATTGTATTTCATGTTTTCAAGCGTTCAAGTAATGGACACAAAATTGGAAGCAGAAGGAAAGGTATAGACATCATTACCTAGAGGCAGTGAAAGAATGGGAGATTTTTCATCCAGTATTGGAGGAATAAATTTGTGTCCACAGGGCATAGGCATTGAGAGGAAAATAACTTATATGAAACCAAGGGTTGTAGCAGCCTAATTTTGTTCTCTGGACCCAGGTAAATTTCATCCTAACACCATAAATAAATACATAATATGAAGTGCAGTGGTATTTCCTGATTGATGATCTTGTTAGACTCCAAATAAACATATATTGTGCTCAAACTGTAATAACACAAGCTTAGTACATATAGAGGGAATTGCATCCACCTACTAAATATGAAGAGAATGTACCAAAAGGGAATGATTTAGAGGATAATGAAATTTTCCTTTAGACTCAGGGATGATTCTGCTGAGCTTTCCTCTGGAAGACTGTCCTTCTCAGGACTGTACAGATTTTTTTACATAATTTGTTCCTCAAGCTAATTTAAAAAAATAAAATAAAAGTCTTAGTGGTATAGAAACAGATTTCAGGCATTTAGCTATCTATATAACTAAATGCTATAAGCTGAAAATCAACTCTTTTCTTTGCACTCTGTCTCCTGAAAACATTTCTTCAGTCTCAAGAACTCTCTGGAGAGGAGAGCCCATATTTGTCAAATATTGTGGGAATAAGAGAAAAAACAATAACAGCAACAAATTGCTTAATCACTACAGTTATTTTAATTCATTATTATGAATAGCATTTGCTGTAACACCTGTGATGTGGTTAGTAATTTTCAGACACTTCAGTGCTTTCACTTTGTTCTACAGAGTTGTTAATCCAAGGACTGATGTCAGGGCAGAAAATACCAACCATCAGTTTGTGGACAGCACATCCATAACTCAGCAAGCTGCCTTATAGCAACAGAATCCCACTCTTAGGAGGGTTTCTGTGGAAGGCACCAAGCAAATGAGCCCTGGATGACTGGGCAGGGCCTAGGGTTTGGACTCTGGTGTGACGGCCTAGGGCACAGAGGGAGTGTGGTGCCAGAAAATGCAGAGCTTGGAGCTGGTGTTTGGAAGATTCTCATGCTTGAGACATGATAGTAAATGCATGGAAAGGGCGCCAGAGTTTAGAAAGCTAAAATTTACTTCATGCAGAATGGGAGACTTCTGGGACTGTGGTTAAGGAATTCAGAACTTCAGTGAGGGAGCTTCCTCATGAGGCTTTGTCAGTGAACCTGATACAGATTTCGGCATCACACAGCTGAGAATTTGACCAGCCATTTCCAAATCCCCAGTGCTACACATGTTGGAGTCCCAAACACCTGCTCTCTCAGACTCTTGTGTAATTGTGAGTCTTAGCCTCTCCTTGAGGATGACCAAGCTACCTTGTCAAGGAACTGCAACAAAATTCTGTGTCTCAGCTTAGTTATACAACCTGGAAAACAAATTTCCTCTGCTTTTGAGTGTCCCTAAGGCAATTGCTGGTGCCACATCTTGAGTTTCTCCCTGTAGAAAAGCCAGATATGTAAAATTGCTCCTTAGCCAGACTTACATCCCATTTAAGACCCCAAAATAGATTCAGAAGGATTCTGCTGAAAGGGTGATTTTCCCCTTTGATGGCTGAATCACTGCAGCATCTGTGTTGAGCTACAGCACATCTCAAACACTGAGGGACGACGGTGAAGAAATAAGTAGCTAATACCTCTTTAAGAATCTACAAGAACTAGGTAATAAAAAAAGAAATACAATAACTAAGATAATAAAAATATTATCTTACAGGTTTTGTAAAAACTTTGCCTTAGGGATGCCACCTGGATGTGTTCCACTGACACAGCTGTTCAGACTTTTTTTCCCTTTGCTGCATAAAAAAATAGAGGCATCGGAACAGCTGTTTGGGTTAATTTTTTAATGCCTTCAGTAAGTAAAAATAAAGGCATATTTCATGAATGAGCAAGGTGATGTTGATGCATCTGTGTGCATCCACAGATTCTTTAAAAACTTTTCAGAATACTTCCATCCACAGTAAATAAAGGTCTGTTGTCCATGGAAGGAGATGAGTCAGAAGGGAAAGTGGGGCACTTCCATTAGTTTGCTGACCAGGTGTAGCATTCTCTGACCAGCATCTCTTCTCTGTACAAAGGAAAGGCTCCTTTTGTTTAGGGCAAATTGGCAGACCTGGTCATATTGAAATCAGTCCACAGTCACCTCATTAACTTCACTAATGTCACTAGAAATGTCATTAATTAAAACAAGCAAACAAATGAAAAATCTCATCCTGATTTTGCTTAAATCCATTCTGGAGCTGCCAGCTCCATTGCCTGCCAGGGAACTACTCCCTAAGAAGGTAGTTGAAGGGACAATGGGAACAGAGCATGTAAGGGTATTTGGATAGACATAATTTTCCAATGAAAAATGTCATTTTTTGTTGTTTTCAAAATCACTGTGTTGGGGGAAAGGGGGAGGCAGAGGAGTCTGCGCTGATTTGCGCTGCCCCTCCTGACACACAGCACACTGACAGCACTTCCAGGTTGAAAAAGAGTCAGGTTTAAAGGGGTGATGGAATGAAACAAGTGGGAGTTGTGATGTTTTTTGTTACCAAGTGTTTCACACACCTCTAGCGGCAAACCCTCTTCGTTGCCAAGACAACCCTGAAGAAATAGGAAATCCAGAACAATACACTGTGTACGAGGAGCCTCGTATTCTCTGGTGCACGCGTTCGTTGTGAATGTCAGGGGAAACAGTGCCCTACCCACCACAGCGATCCAGGTAAGCCCAGGTAAAGTTATAGGTGATGTCTGTGAGATTATATTGGCTGACGTTTAGAGATTGTCTTTTGTCCTGGCAGCTACCAAAGCTCAAGGGCTGGCTCTGAGAGCCTGGGCACTGTATTCCTGCAGTGCAGCACTACCCAAGGCTGGCGAGGCAGCACCAGGAGGATTCCTGAGGCTGTCGTGCAAGTAAGTCAGGGCTGGGGCTCTGGCTGCTCTGCCCAGCCAGTGCTGCATGTGAAAGTGTCTGCAGCAAGCAGGGAATGCCAGCCTGTGGTGATCTGCTTTTACAGCAGTTTCTAAAGATTTCTCAGGCAGCTGAATGCAAGGTTGTACAGCCACAGAGGTATTTTTGCTCCATAACTGGGATATACTGAGCTGTGCTCTGTCTCTAGGTCAAAGGAAATATAGATGTGACTTAAGCCTCTTTGCCTAAGATCCTGGCTCAGTGCAGGACAGTAGAAGATCTGAAGCCTTGGGTTTGTTAATGCTTATTTATTTAAACCCAATGAATGAGCCCCGGACAAAGGTCCAGGAGGTCAGAATAAATATCTGCAGGGATGCTTATGGCACCCTCTTGCAGGCAGGAACCTCAGGAACTTTTTATGTCTCAGAGAAATGTTATGTGCAGTTTGCAAATTGTAAGTTTTGCTTCTCCAAATTGTCTCCAAGACATCTTTAGGATTCTTATTGTATTCCCAGTGACAGGTAATAAATGATAATGTTGTTCTGAAGAATGAGAGGAATAATCTTTTTGCTATGCTTGAAGTTGTCATTGACCTCCTTGTTAGGAATGTCTGCACCCTTAGGAAGTAACGTCAGCTCCCCATTTGGTTAAATCTCCTTGTTAAAAGGGGGAACAGCACTTGGAGCAGGGGACACTGGATTCCACACAGCAATGCATCCATTTTGCTGTGCACCCAGTGTGAGGACAAAGCCATTTTAGCTTGCATTGAATCACAGCAGCATCCCAAAAGTAAGCAGGAAAATGCCAACATCTTTTGCATCCTTTCATTCTTTGGCTCTCTGCTCCCTCGGTTCTGTCCTTTTTTATCAGCTGCCTGTCAGATGTTCACAGCAAGAAACTCAGCAGGTGTATCCTGATGAATATGGTCTTTAAGTGGGCAGGGAACCTTGGGGAAGTGCAGCTTCCTCCCTTCTGCTGCACTTCTAGAATCACATCACATTCCTCCTTTTGCAATTGTGTGCCGAGATACAACAGATCCAGGACTTTGGGCTCTGAAAGACAGGTAGCAAGCAGTGGTAGTTTGATATGACAGGAGCACCAAGCCAGCAGAACAAACCAGTTGGTGCTGACAACTCCGTGTCTATACTATCGACACTTGAGGGTTTTATCCTGAGGCTAGTACGAGTTTAGTCTGTAGGCTGAGCTCGAAACTGTGTGGTATTAAGTGAAGCACAGTCAGCCAGGGATTCACTTCAGAAACACTTACCTGTTCCAGAATAAGACACAGATGTAGATTATCATTTGTAGAGCAGAAGGTCAAATTAATCAGTGCTGAAAAACAAGTGTTGCATATTTGAGTATCATAGCAAGACACTCTGAGCAGAGCTGGTTCTGCTTTCATGGCTCCATCAGCATGTCCAGAGCTTCAGCTTCCATGTCCATGGCAGTCTCTCCCTGGCTGTGGAAGAAACTCCAGAAGCAACAGTTCTGCACTGTGCTTCCTTTGTCTTCCTGAAGAACAAACTCTACAGTGCACTGAGAACCATCACACCTTCATTCTATTAAAAGACACATCCTGTTAGAGCTTCGTGTGAGGCATCCCTGAGCTCAGGCCACTCTGATCCTCTTTTAGCACCTTAGAAACAAACTGAAAACTCCTGGCAGCTCAGGAACAAAGGAGTATGTGAAAGAACTGCAATTTCATAAACTATGGAGTGGGAGTTGGAGCTATTATAGAACATCCCGTTCCAAAAGGAAACAAATGACAGCCTGACGCTGCTGGGTAGTAGTGACGCGTGCGGCCGCAGAGTGAGTCAGTCTGTGTGAGCTTCAGATATGGACCTAGAGGGAAAACATTTGTGGCAGCAGGGCCGATCACATGCTCATAGATGGAATTACCTCAGCTCATTTTTCATGCATGTGTTAATGTATTTGCTGCGCTTCTTCAGCAAAAGGAAAATAGTACAGAGGGAAAAGTCGCATGTAGGAGCTGCTTTATCTGTCTCTTCTTGCAGCCTCCTGCTTCCCACCCACACTCCTGCACAGCCAGTGATAATGTATCATGAGCCATGTTTTGATATATCAGTTTTGTTCAGTAAGATGGAATGTGCTGCTGTTATTTTTGTTATTATTTGTGTAATTTGGAATTCCAAAACATTGGTCTAAAGGCATAGGTGAATCGGACAATTAGGTGAATTATTATGAAATTATTTCCTTTATCAGTGAAGTGATGTCTTGCTTTAATAGCTTAGAGCTCAGTTGAATGCTTGTATTCATTTAAAAATGAAAACTGAAGCCTAAGGATCCTTTTAAGGCCTGAAAGGAGTCTGTAGAGCTTATTCTCTGCTACATGGGGCATGTGTGATGATGTATAAATTGTGAAATGAATTGGCTGTTTACTGGAAAATTATGGTGATCTCCTGGTTGTGGTCCAAGATAAGAAACCTTGGCCATGGCTTAAGGACAAGGAAGCTTTAGTAGTAACTCTGTCTCGAGATGTTCCCATCTCAGCTTTTTTCCACACTTTTACTCCAGCTCAGGCCCCTCCCAGTTGTATCTAAACAACTTTTCATGTGACTCTGCAGCAAGCCACATCAGGAACTGCTGGTGGTTGAGACTGTGAACAAAAAACCCTGTAAAATAGAAAGGATGCTAGTTTTTTTTTCCTTTTTGTGTATGTGTTTTGGTTTGCTTTGCTTTTTGCTTCAACTAGATCAGTGCCTGATCAGCATTGCCCCCAGGAACAACTGCTCTAGCCCAGCTGAAAGGCCTGAGTGTTATTTGGCAGGGGGGACACTGGCAGGGGCTGGTGGTGGGAACTCTGTGACAGCGCTGCCACCAAAATGTGCAAATCAGGAAACCGTAGCTGGTAAAACATTGCTTCATTCAGCAGCAAAACAGAACAGCTGCTGTGTCTTCAGAAGGAAAGAGAAAAGGGGGATGTTATCTAGCTACAGAGTTAGGCTTGGAGGACAAACTGGGGGAAGGATCTGGGTTCAGGGTATAGAAGGCTCATGGATGAAAAATGCCTTAAAAAGCAATATCAGGCATTAGGCATTTCCCATCTCTTGTGCTGAAATATCATAAGAGTACGTGACATTTCATGGAGGTTCAGCTAAATCTAAAGCAGAATTGTAGGTCTGAGCTGTAGTCTAACCCTCAAACAGCACCAAAGTAGTGAGCTGAGAGCAAAAGCAGAACTCTCCTTGAACTGAAACTGAGAAGTTTGGTTTTTTCCTCTCTGTGAGCAATTGCCTTATTGATGTTTCAAAGCAATGTTAGACTGGGGGAGCTCACCTGTCACCTCTCCCCAGTAGACATGGAAGGTCTGTGCTGGTGTAGCTGAAGTCCACAGGTGAGCAAACTGCTCTGGGATGGCTCTGACCTCCAGCAGCTCTAGGAGAAGAAAATTGTTAGAAAAATACTTCATTAGGCATTTTGTTTATAGTGAAGCCTTGGCAAACCAGACGAGTTATTCCTGCCATAGAGGGAAAGGGACTGTCTTGAAGTTGGTAGGGTGCCTATATTGCCTATCTGCCCAAAAAGGCAAGCTCAGAGCTGGAGCCATCACCTCGAGCCACCATTATCTGCTGCATCCTTACATGTCCCCCCCCCCACTCTGCCCTGGCATGGGCACTCTCCTCTCTTATCAGTGAGGTGCCAGCATTTCATTTGCACAGCTGAGTGCTCTTGAACTGACTCTGTGCATCCATCAAGGTCATGAAGCCATTCAATCCCTTGCTGAAGTAGCCTCTGGTCAGGAATACAGGACTGCAATGGCGCAGCTTACAACACCAGAGGGATAACTTTCCTGCAGTACTACAGAGCAGCTTTCCTGGAAGAGGTAATGGTTTGCCAGTATTGCAGAATGGTAATTTTAAACCCATAAAGAGCTCTTATTGTAGTCTCAAAGCAGAGTTGAAAACCGGCCGCGCCCTCTTTATCCCGGCTCTGATGAAGCGCCAGCTCCGTCAAAGAAAAAGGTGTTTGCAGCATGTGCCGTGTCCCGGCGGGACTGGCACAGGGAGTGACAGCCAGCAGGGCTTCAGCATTGCCGGGGATTCTAGGAGAGGGTTTGCCTGCTGGAAGGCAGGAAAACCAGGGCTCCTGCAGCTGCTCACGGGTGGCATCCCGCACAGCAGACCGCTCCGTGGGGCCGTGCTGGGCCATGCTCCCCCGGCAGTCCCGGCCCGGCCCTTGTCACAAACCCCGCTGTGCCGAGGGCAGCCCGAGGGCCTGTGAGGGGCTGATGTCACTGCCCGGCCTGCGGCGTGACTCATGCAGAACAGAGGGCTCTTCATGGGCCGGGGAAAACACGAGGGAGGGCCTTGCTCTAGGAGGGAATGAGGCAAAGGTGCGGGAATAACTAGGGAGCTCGAGGAGGGGGCCACACCTCGGGGTTGGAAGAAGGTCACCTCCTATTTTGGGTTTCTTCCCTTGGGTTGGTTTGAACAATTCTGCTCTTGCTTTAATAAAAGATCAGGGTGGGGGAGGATGGATTTATTAGAGAGGAGTTCCCTGCACCTTGAGCTGCCTGAGTTAGTCAGAGCAGGGAAGATGGAGCAGAGGAGGATGGTTCATGTCCTGAGAGGTGTGTGGGCAGGGAGCTCAGGCTCCCCACAAGCCGTGGCTGAGGCACAGCCCTCAGTGGGGGCCTCTCTGGGGGTGCCTCGCTGCCCCCAGTTCGCATATCACCACGGCAGCGTTCTTAGCAAGGCCAGGTGAATCAAATTAATAAGAACAGGGATAACCAAGCCTGCTGACACCAGGGAGGGGATTCACAATGCCTGCCAAAGGTGTTATGATGGAGGGGAAATGGAGGCAGCTGCAGAACTGGTGCTGCTGCCTCTCAGGAAGTGGGCTCACAGCACCACTTCTCTGTTTGTAAAGTCAGATTCCTAAAAGCGACAGCACTTATGGTCATGGTGACATGTGCAGTGGTTTCAGAGCACTTCCAAAAGTCTTTTGAGCTTGCCTGAAGTAAAGGATCAAGTATTGATGATTATAGAATGTGTTATATCTAATTATATGAGCCCTTATACCATCCATTTCCCCTTTCTTCTGTCATTCTGATATAACTGGGTGCAAAAAGACACTCACAAAGTAAATATTGTTTCTATGAACAACGCTGTGCAACCCATTTTTGCAGGTTTTCATTAAAGGTTCAGAACCAGCAAATTGAAATATTCCTACAAATTTACATAATCTGAACTGGTCACTGCATCTGATTCTTCTAAATTGTTCTTTTATGTCTGCAAGGAGCCAAGTGAAACCTTCAGATTTAAATACCATTGAACTGTAGGACTTGGGAAATTCAGATTCTACTGTACATCAGCTTCTGAGCCTGAAATTAAGATTTGTTATTGTGACTGCACATGCTGGGAATCAGGATAATAGCAAACATGCAAATTCAGATCTTAATTATGAGCCACTTGGAATTAAAAATAGACAAGCCAGTTCCATGAATGAGGAGGCAAGCAGAAGCACTGAGTGTGATTTCCTATAATGTGAGGTCACGGTTGAATATGGATATAGTTGTCAGGGGTATGGATATGTTGTTGATTTTGCAAAGATGCTCACAAACTGCAAGGTTTCATGGATTTTCTGGTGACCAGACATTTGCACCATGTTTACTGTTTGCTATTCACTACTATCACTTTTCACTAACAGAGTCAGGAAAACAATGTCAGGTGATTGGTACAATTGATCAACATATCTAATGAATAGCCAGGACTGAATAGTGGGGCAAAGGGACAGTGAATGCGTTCAAATGGGAAAGTGATGGCCCATGATTTTCTGGGAAACAAATACATTATGGAAAAGATCAGCTTTAGTTTTTGAACTAACTAAGATAGGGTCATGTGCTAAATTTGCAATTAATATTATTTTAAAGAATAGATCAAACAGCTCAAGCAGATTTCCTCTAACTGACAAGTTCCATTAAACAAGAAAGCTCATTCTTAGTAGGAGATTTTAATATAACACTGAGAACAGAGAATAAAACAATGAATGGAAACATATCAGCGGTCAATTTCCTGAGTATTCAAGCCTGCATTATACTTTGTTCTTTGCTACAGCCATGGCTCTGTAATTATCAAGCGTATTCATGGGACTTTTTCCTATTGACACTCAGCGTGAGTGTGGCTGGAAAGAGATTAAGCTTTTGTGGCAGCCATTTGAATTTGTCTAACTAAAAACAACCTGCAAGGCTGTGGGGAGCTGTACTTCTCAGGGGATTTGTGATGGTCTGCAGAAGCTGCAGGTCACAGGTTCAAACCTGTGTGTTGGGTGTGTGCAGGGCCTGCAGCACTGGAGCCCTGTGGCTGCAGTCACTGGCACTGCCACAAAGTAGTGACTGATGATGGAGCAGATGCTTCAAGATGTTCCTCTGTTATGTGACTTAACATGCTTGCTGGACCATGAATGGCATCACTGGATAAGCCATTGCCTATTGGCTTTTCCTCAGAAAAGGAACTTTGCTCCTGCAGGACTTCATCTGGTCTTTCTTGTAGACAGTATAGCTGCTTCTCAAGTGATACTCCAAAATAACTCTAGGCCAGGTTATACCCTCTCCATGCTACCAGTGGACCCTCATTTTGTTATTAACCATTAACCATGCATGAGAGGTCTCTGTGCCTCTCATGCACCCTGTGCCTGGGAAACCACAGCTGTGTGGGATTTCTGGGGACCAGCCTCTCGACAGCTTTCTGGGCAGATTTGCCTGTCTTTATGAGAGATGTAGTGGCGAGTGAGGAGCAGTGCCTGCAGCCTGCTGGTGATGGCTGTGAGGGAGGAATATCAGTGGTATTGGCAAGTGGACTGCAAGGAGAGGGAACTGTGAGCTGGTAGTATCTCCAGTCTGAGGAAATCCAGAATGTTCATGTTAACTCTTCTGGAGCTTTGATTTCATTTGTAGTAACCTGGAGTTTCCTTCCCCCAGCTGATCAAAGCTGTGCCTATCCACTGTCAAGGCAGGAAATATCTCTCTGAGGGAGCACCATATCTCTTTGCTGTTTGGTGCAAGTATGGACAGCAATTCAGATCCTCAGCTCGTGGCCTTGCTTCAGTCCCCAGATCTGGGCAGGCACCATGTCTTGTTACACAGTTCCCTGTGTAAAAAGGGGAACTTTTCTGTTTAAACAACCATTTTAGCCAAAGATGGAAAAACCAGAATCCTGTTTACTTAGGCTTCTTTGCAGTCCCATAGAGCAGGAGCAGCAGTGCTGGTGTTGTGGCTCAGCTCCAAATCAGGTAATTGCTGTGCGTTCTGCCCTACTTACACACCCCCCATAGTTTCAATTAGAACAATTGTTTCCATTTTTCTTTCCTGTTCTCTCAAGTATTAATACAGTTGCTGGTAAGCTGCTTGTGTGATCCCTCACCTAGGTGTTGTGTTTCCATGGTAAAGACAGACATCCTTGTGTGCATACCTGGACTGAATCCCCGTTGGCACAGACTGATGTAATTCCATAATAGAGCTGTGTTGATTTGCACCACATGAAGACACAGCTTTCCTATGCAGAGAGCTACATCCTTCTCTCTAATTAAAGCCTCTGTATGAATGCCTGTGATCTATTTGTTTTTCTACTCGTTCTACAGCTTTGCAAATAACATGAGGTTTGGGTAGTCATTCACACTTCTGGTCACAGTGGTGGTCTCTAGAGAATACAACATGCCTCTTTTTAATGTGCTTCCCCCCAGCTGTTCAAGAGTGGATCTGTAGGAATATCTGAGCTCTTTCACTCTGGGCTGCAGTGTGGTAGACAGAGTTCATGATGTGTGATATGTTATGAATTGCTGGAAAATGTGGTATATGGAAATAAATCTCTCTAAATCTATCAGGAGAATTAAGAACATGGAAAGATGCCTGAAAGCTACGCAACAACAGGAGATTACATGCTTGCAGCTTGAGCCACCTGGCATATTGAGCATTCATGTTCACAGCTGAGGGCTCCAGCACTTATTATGCTGTTTATGTGATCAGGAGAGCCTTCCTTTCATCTGATAAAGAGCTAGGCTTGAAATGGCACATGTTGGGGCTGGTGGGCTCTGTGTCACACACTGGGGTGAGGTTTGCTGTCTGATTTTCTGGTCTGTCATGTGGCCCATCAGATGGTTATCGGCATCATATGCATGTGCTGAATGGATTGATGTTTGTGTGCATGAAGGCTTGAGCAGATCATGGCTTGGGTTTCTCTGGTGTTATTGAGACCTTTCTAGTGACTTCACAGGGAATACAACTAAGCTGTTATATTTTATGTAATGTAAGCAGGTATTTCCTTTCCCAGCACTCCCTTCAGAGAGTTTTCTGAAATGCACAGAATGCATTCATGGCTCAGTTCTCAGCAGGCAAGCTGGGAGCAGATCCTTTGCAAACATGGAGTTGACTCACATAGGAGGCAGTTAAGCTGCTTACCTGTATGAAGCAAACAACACAGAGTCCCCAGGCAGTGCAAAGGAGAGTGGCTTTATTGCAAAAACCAGGTCTTTTTAAGCAATTAACCAGTTATTAGTTTACACATTTTTAAGCATATGTCTGGCACTATATAGGATATGTGATATACTGCAGTGCCTCTGTGTGTCCCACATGAGCTCTATCTGTCCTAAA